GATAGATGTGTTAGTATGAAGGTTATTGACAAAAAAAACTATTTCTTCCAAAGCAATTCGTGTTCAACATAATGATTCATATTCAATGTTTATAAGTATATTGCACCAGTTCTGGTGCAACAGATGTGAATTTAACCAATCTATATCGCAGTTGTATAAATGTAAATCAAGTTTGTTTGTCTAAAATATACTATTCAAATTTATTTAGTTTTGTGCTTATTGTTTTTTATATTGCCATATGTTATTACAGTTGAAATTGCTATGGCTTCAATAACTTTCAAGTTTGCTGTTGTAAACTTTATCAAAGAAAATTCAACTTGTGTTGTTTGTTTAAAAAGGCTGGAGCAGAGAGGAAATGCATTTTTCAAATTGATATTTCTGTTTTTTAAATAGACAGATTTAAGTGATTATACTATGGTATAATTAGCTATTTTATAAACTTACTTGTTGCTTTTTTAGCAACTTGTTATTGGCCAAGAAACAATGAGAAAAAGCGTGCTTTGGAGGGGGAACATTCTGACAAAAATAAATGGTATTGTCGTTAGGTACATCTATTTCGGTATGAAGATATGATAAATTTCTAACATTTATTTGATTATCATAAAGTTTCATGCATAATGTTCATAAAATAAATTTTTTTATTTTCCTTTTCTCAGATGATTTTATAAAGGCAAAGTTATATGCTGAAATATATCTTCTAATATAGGTAAATAATAATTAACAGCAACTGATTGACAATAGTTTGTCACTCAGTTGCTGAATGACAAACTGTATAAAAACTGATACTGGTGGAATTTAGGAACATAGTATTTCTCAACAGGTTTTATTTAAGTATAATATATTTGTTATAGTTTCAATTATCAACTATATAGTAACTTTTTATAGTTTGATTTTAGTCAAATGATAAAAATCGCAAACTGCTAAAGCCTAATAAACCTATTGTATTTTAAACCCTGACCTAATAAACCTAAGGTATTTTAAATCCTTTAAATTAAAATATCATCATAAGTTATTTTTTTTTATATAATATTCAACATAATTCGTTTGAAACTCATTGTTTGAAGAACATGACTAAATATGTTTATAGACAGCTGATAATCAGTATGTCGATGAAGTAAGGTTTCCGGTACCACCACATTATAGGGTAATCTGTTAAAATCAATATATATTTTTAAACATCGTTTGTAAACAAAAATCAGTGCTTTTTTTATTATTTTGGAGTAAGTTGTAGTGATAGATAATAGTTTTTCTTTACTTACAAGGTTGGGTCATCATCATATAAAAAGGTAATAATTAAAAGTTTAATTTTTACATAAAATCAATCATTTTTTAATTAATGAAAGCAAAAATCATGTTCAAAGAATATAATTGTTGATGATGAATGTCTTGTCACACTGAATGCTGAGGTAAGTTATGTTATAAATCCCCAAAGAGTTTTTGAGTATTTGCATGTTTTTGGATTCTCTAGATGAGTTTTACAATTTTTGTGATCGCCTTCACTTGTTACCATAAATTATTTTGGTGAAAGTTTACTGGGTTAGCTGACTTGATTTTGTATATATATGTATATATATATATATATATATATATATATATATATATATATATATATATATATATATATATATATATATATGTAAATATATATATATATGTAAATATATATATAGTATATATATATATATATATATATATATATATATATATATATATATATATATGTATGTATATATATATACATATATATAATTTTGTTGGTTGAATTTAAATATATATATATATATATATATATATATATATATATATATATATATATATATATATATATATATATATATATATATATATATATATATATATATATATATATATATATATATATATATATATCTATATATATATATATATATATATATATATATATATATATATATATATATATATATATAAATATATATATATATATATATATATATATATATATATATATATATATATATATATATATATATATATATATATATATATTGTAAATATGTATATATATATATGAAAATGATTTTGATGATGTGTTGCAAAAACAAATGGATTCTATGATGA